TAATTTGAGGTCGGCTCCTTTAAGACTTCCCTTCTCCAAAACCTGGCCTGTCTTTGGGTCCAACGTCCCCCCATGCGCATAGAACCAAGTCCTGGATCTAGGGGGCAACTCAATGTAACTGGAATGACCCCTCCATCCACCATTTGTTGCTCAGCCTTATCCCACTTAGGTCGGGCCACCGCGTAGCCACCTGGCCCCAGCTTATGGTAATGCTCCTTTTTCACGGCATTGATCTTGTTTATTCTCGACCGTTCCTTAGCTAATTTCGATTCCTTGAATTTCACAAAAGCGGGCTAGTGATCTCTTTGCTTCTCCAGTGTTCCCGTGAATTCTGGAGTCTTCTTTCCTCCTTTAATGTACTTGGTCCATCTAGTTTTCTTGTGGTTGTTGAATGTAACCACCATCTTCCTAAGAGTAGCGTCCTTGACTTTCTACACATCTGCATCCGTGAAATGATCTGGTAGGGTGAAATGTGACATGAGAGATTCCCAAAGCAGATCTTTTTCTCTTTGGTCAACAGAATCTAGACGTTCCTTTGCTGGCTTTTTCCTTTCTTGAATGGAGATCGGGATTTGGCCCTTCACAAGAACTCCGCACTAACGAACGAACTTGCCGACATTCCTCTTAGGCTCGCTTGGTTCGCCATTAGGTTTGATGACATCGATGTTGTACTTTATGCCCTCCTTCAACTTTTTGGCCGGGCCTCGCACTGTCTTGCTGCCTGTAGAAGATTTGCTTGATCCAGAGGGCTGAAAGAAGAAAGATCAATGCGCTAATGTATATACAAATCATTTAAAACATGTGATGATCACCAGATGCCTGCTTATATAAATATACCTTGCCGGTCTTTATTATTTCAAGATCAACATTTTCTTCGTCGTCATAATCATAGTTCTGGACTTCATCTATTCATTCGTCTTCATCAAATATCATACCCTCACTGGTAGGGTTCAGATATTGCGAGCCGTCATCTTCATCAAACTCATTTGGGCGAGGGGATGAGTGTATGATGTTGAACATGGCCTCCTCTCCTTCTCCGTCGGTATTATCCATAGCTTTTATTTAACTAATCCAGAAGAAATATAAAACAATTTAGTATTCAAATTACAATGCATGCATGCAATCAATAAGGAAAAACTAAACCATAGTACATAATATGTATCATCGAATATAATCTCGAATACATCGTCTCGAATATTATCGAATAATATATATATATAATCTCAAATACATCGTATCGAATATTATCGAATAATATATATAATCTCGAATACATCGCCTCGAATATTATCGAATACATCACTAGCTAGCTAATATAGATCAAATACTATCAAATAATCTAGTTCACTCGCGGTTCCTGAGGCGCGGGCGGTGGACACCCAAAGAGAAGGAACCATCACATGATCATAGCTCGGGTGAGATCCCCGAAGAACCTACCAAGTATTGGAGAACCTGGCATCCAACGCGACCATGTAGCGACGGACGTGCTCGTCCTCCTCCCTGACACGACGACGTACCACTTCTAGCGGGGTCGGCTCCCTCCGCACTGAAAGTGGCCCACGCGAACGCCACCAAAGGAGCTCCGGGTCGACAACAGGACCCGGGACCGGGTTCCTCACCAAGCGGCGCGCCCCTGAAGGTAGCACCTCCTAGTGCCAGCCCGGCAGAGCCCAGTCCTGGACATGCCTCCTCGGAAGCAGGACATCATCGTGAACGGGTCGACGGCGAGGATGTGGGCTGGCCATCGTTGACGTCGAGAACAAATTCTATATGTAAATATACCATTTTTAAAATGATTGGATTTTGATTTCTTATAAACAAATTCTATTTAGATACATTATAACTGCGCAGGTTTCCAACGCTCTCAGACCATCACAATTCGTGGTCGTTTGATCATCAATTCTGGGCATTTTTGGCCATCAGATGTGTTGTGAGTTGCACGTAATCTGACTTCCTTCGCTATTAACGACCGCTAACCGTCTGGGCCGCTGCTCTGGTCACTTTTTTGGGCATCTCAGATTACATTGGGCCTAATGGGCCTGTACCCTATATCAGTGTCGTCTACCGTAAGTGAAGCCATCGAACCCCTAAAAAAGTGAAGCCATCGCGTGGCGGCTCTTTCCATGGGTGACCGAGCTTGGTCGCGACTGATACGGGGGCAACGGATCCCGTAGCGACCGCACAGAGCCAGACGATGCGACGGAGTTGGTCCGAGCCTCCCGGACTGCATGTCGATGCTGGTACAGAGGAAGTGAAGCGGAGAGGGAAACTGACCCACCGGAGTTTTAGGGACAATCAATCATCGGTTCTTGGGAGCACTAATCGCGGGTGATATGCGCCACTCGCGGTGGCGATTAATAGAGTTGTGCGTTTCTTTTTCCCATCCTGCAACTGCTTCAGTACATGCGGCTCTATATATTATTCATATCCCGGAGCTCGCCTCCAGCCTTAATCCCCTCCACCTCACTTGCACTCCTCCCATCAGTTTGCTGTCTTGATATCCCCGCATTTGTGATGACCATAACAATCTTCCTTTCCCCGGTGTTGGATTTGACGCCCCTCGCTGAAGGTTGTACTTGTAGCAGCAGAATGATTAATCTTTTATCACGCTCCAAATATGTGATGATTGGTTGTCTTGCTTCCCGTCAGTGTTGGATGCAACCGTGAATTCTTGTTTCCATTGAGCTGCTGCCTGGGTTGTTACCAAGCTAACAGAAGATGTCCATGGAATTCTCTGGTATCTGTGCCCATAGGTCTTACATTCAGGTTGTGTCATTGAAGAAGGCACAGAAAATATCAACTTCAGGCTTCGTTACCTGTAGTTTAGTGAGTTTTTCATTCTTGCAATTTTTTTTGTTTGAGACCTCAATAATAAGGGATTTTGTTTTACTGTGTTTCTCCTAAAAAATTGTTATTATTATTATTTCAGTGAGCGTGCAGCAGAGCACATGTTTCTCAGGAAAGACGTATCTTTATGTATGCAAAGATACAACAGAATATGAAGATTGTAATTGCATCCTCACAGATGTGGTGGTTTTTTGCATTTTCAGTTTTTGATCCCTATAGCTGGGTTCAAAACTGCAAATGCTAGATGCGATTCAATGCTATATCCTATACATTATTGTAGTTACCTGCATATTCTTGTTGAAGAAGCTATAGTTGGTGCTCTGTCCTAGGTCAATACACAATATCATTATCTAGCTTAGTACACAATATTATTATCTGCTGGTTACTATACACAATATTGTTATCTAGCTTAGTACACAATATTATTATCTGTTAGGATATTACTTGCTACTGACAGTTGCCCTGTCCTTGCATAGTACACAATATTATTATCTGTTAGGCTATTACTTAATACTGACAGGATTATCTTTCATAAAAAGGAAAACGTCCGCCAAATAACTCATTGCACTCTATTTTAGCATTTTCATGGTTTATCTTTTCTTCATGTATTTACAGAAAAATTATATATCTATATTATAAAACATTCAAAATAGACGGGCGCAGCAACGCGCGCCATCAGTGATCTAGTATGCAAATGTAACATAACAGATTCTCTTAACCATTAAGGGATTTAACAAAATGGCGCCATTCTGGATGAGTAGAAAATGGTTCATATTTTTCCTGATCTCATCTACCCTTCTATATGTCACGTTGTCTAGTGTTAGTGGATTCAAGAAAACCACGGCTTCATCATTAGCCGGAAGTAATAACCGCATAATGCTATGAAGCTCTCCAAAATTGTTTTGAAACAAAGTCCCAGATAGGATAATTAGTTTTTTGATATGAAGTTCAGCAAGAGCCTTCCGAATATCGCTATTTCGAAGGCCTTTGCTGAAATTCGTAAAAAAAAGCAAATTATTCTATCCGGAATTTCATTTCGAAACAATTTTGAAGAGCTTCGTGGCATCATACGCCTGTTACTTCCGGCTAATGATGAAGCAATGGATTTTTTTCAATACTTTGACAGACAACGTGACATATAGAATAATATTCTGTTACCCCGCGGCCTATATAGGAGCGATCGGACCAGAATGTGCAAAACTAGGAAAAAGCAAACCCCATCCTTCCCAGCCCAAAGCAAAAAGAACAAAAAAAAACCCACGCCCCCACCCCACTGCCCCATCTCCATCCAGACCCCGATCCCCCGCTCCCAGCGCGCCGCCGCCGCCTGGCTCCCTCCCCCATCGCGCCTCCGTCGCCTGGCTCCCTCCCCGTCGCGCCTCCG